CGACCCAGCCCCGCGCGGCTGGAGGCAGCCTGTGTCCGCCAAAGGTTTCGGTGACAAAGTTAGCGGTGGGGGACTTGCGTCTCTGCTGGAACCCACTCCTCTCCCCCGTGGCAGCTGCGAGCGAGAAGAGCGGGGAGCTGGGGGAGAGGTGAATAACACGAAAGCAGAGAAAACAGAGGAGGGACGCCGAGCAACAGCTGCTGACCATCCGGCAGGCAGCGATGACCGCCCCAGCGCTGCCACTCCTGCTGCGGCCCCTGCCACCGCCCGCCCCTTCCCCTCATGGCCACCCGGGTGGTGCAAAGCAGTGTCCGTTCCCATGCTGCATAGCAAACTGAACCTGGGGCCCGCCGGAAGGGGCGCCGTTGGTGTCCTCGAGCCTTGGAGCGACGCTGGCGACGGCAGGGCGCGAGCTGCGGGACACGCCCCCGGACACGCCGTCACAATGGCCGACCCAGCGCGGGACGAAGTAGGACGACTGGCAGAAGCCGCTTAAGTCCCATGCCATCGTGTCCTTACACTTGTGTCTGTTTGCTACAGCAAGCTGAGATTTTATTTGTACGTATTCTTTTTCCCCGCTTGGGCAGGCTGCTTGTCCCAGAGGACGAGTCCGGCGCGGGGACAAGACACGACCCAGTAATGCGGCGCTGCTGTGGGGTGGGGTACTGGAGCAGGAGCACTGGCCTCACTGATTTGCAAACGACCCAACTCTGAGACTCCGCGGCCGGCCTCCCCCACCCTCCTCCCCTGCCCTCTCCTCCCTCCAGCCTCCCCTCCTCTACTCGCCCAGCCGTGCCGCAATTTATAGCCCCCATACCTGCCACAGATATTGCTGTTTTACATACTTCTTTGCGGCGGGCGCCCGGTCAGGCTCGGCAGCGCCCCGACCCGAGACCTTCAAGGCGAAAATCGTGCCAAATTCGTCCAAAACACTACTTTTTCTCTCACCCCTTTCCACACCGGCCGAGGTGGGAAAACTTTTGTCGAGTCTTGCCGACCGAACCACCTCTTCTACGTCTCTCTCTCTCCCTCTCTCTCCCTCACCCCTTTCTCTCTCTCTCTCTCTCCTCGATCTCTCTCACTCTCCCTCCCCCCGGCACTTCCCTTCCACTCCATTCGAACCAACTTTATCCTGATTCGTGGCCGCCTGCGTTTAGTTATGGGCGAGTAGTGGCGGCAGGTGGGGACAAACCGACCCAAAATAAGATCAAATAGAGACGACAACTTTTGCAGTTTACGCCTGCGGCGCAAAAGTTTTCATCCTCTCGCCCCGCGACGGATAACAATTCCAGAGGCGTAAATATTTTCAGAGACCGCTTCATCCTAAGCAGTCTTGCACCGACCCGGGCTTTACCTTAGTAACTTAAAAATAGAGGGCAGAGCAGTGCCTCAGAACGCCGTCACCACCACTCCGCTCTGCCCTCTGGCCTGGCCCTAGGCGGGACGGGCAGCCTCCCCGTTACAAATGCCGATGTCGTTTTCCCTACATCTCGCGCGACATGCATTCCTCTGCCTCCCCCTCCCTCTTCCCCTTTTCCAAAGCGTTCGTGTGCTGGGAGAGAAGGGGGCACAAGGTGGCGCCAGCCGCTTCGCGCTCGCGTGTGCGTGCGTGCGTGTGCGTGCGCGTGTGTGTGTCCGTGTTTGCTGGGACAGTATTCAGGGGCACAGCGATTTGTGCTGTAGTATGCCCTCGTAGGCAGAGTGCCAGGCAACGGGCAGGGGAGTGGCGTGCGTGAACGGGACGCACACGACGGTGTTAGGGCGGCTGAGGTGTGTGTGTGTGTGTGTGTGTGTGTGTGTGTGTGTGTGTGTGTGTGTGTGTGTGTGTGTGTGTGTGTGTGTGTGTGTGTGTGTGGTAGACCTCAGCCCTGTTCCCCTCTCCCCCGCCCGCGTCCCCGTGAGCATACTACACACTCTCGGGTGGTCCACCTCTGCACCCGCCCTGGCTCCCCTCCCCCAGTTATTTTTTTTTTCGACGAGTCCCATTCACAGAAGCTCGTGCCAACAGCCGCGAGTCCAGCCCTCCCCTCTCCCCCATCGTCTCTTTCACGCCTCTAGCATGGCACGGCCCGCCCTGCACTCTATGCACTTTGAGGAGTAAATTTATTATGGTCGTTGGAAATCACGCACCCCCAACTTTCCACCTCTTCGTTTGGGTATTTTTTTCTTTCGTAGCTTTCGAAAGGGTTTACGACTGATTGTTTATTTGAATGCAAGGGCTAGAGGCAATGTGTACCCATAAAAGCTTGAAAATGCTCGAATGGAGTCAACCTTACATGTCTCTTTGTAGGCATTGATGTTTGGCATGCACCTTTACCAAAGGATGTCTTCAACCATTAGAACGTCAGGTCGGGTTCAGAGGGTCGATTGTTGAAGTAATACCCACCCACGCTCCCACGCGACGACGCACCGTCCTCCTGGTCTCACAGGCGACTCCCTCGCGCGACTAACAAGCAGTGCGCCCGTAAGGAGGAGCCCTACTCACGGGGAGAAGGGATGATAACATGCGCGCTTGGTATTCGTTTCGTAGCGTTCGTTAGACATTTCTGCGTGTGTTGTTAAAGGTAAGGAGCTTTCGTGGAAACTCCGGTACGCGCTGTAAAAAGTTTGCAAAGAACTATTTTGTACATCGGAAAGAATTTCGACGCGTTGTAAAATACTTTGCATTGCGACCAAAATCCTTTACATTGCGAACTAGTTATCCGCACACGTTACGAAGGAAATTGTTCGTAACTCTGCAAAGAATAAAGTTGGTAAGCTTGCAAACTATTTTTTCGCAGCCTACGAAGAAAATAGTTTGCAATGAAAAGAAAACTGTTTGCAATGCAAACTTCCCTACAATGCTTTAAAATTAAAAATTTCCATTTTTTGGCAACGTTTTTAAATTGACTCACCGTAAGTGTTTTTTTTATATGTTACAGGGGCAGCTGGTCTGCGCGAGGTGCATCTGCAGACGCCGCTGGCTGTCAAGGCCGGCACTACAGTGACTCTGCGGTGCAACTACGACCTGCAGGACGACACGCTGTACACCGTCAAGTGGTACAAGGGCAGGTCCGAGTTCTTCCGCTTCACTCCGAAGGAGCTGCCTAATACGCAGGTCTTCCCCCTCAACGGCATCTCCGTTGACGTGAGTACAAACCCTTTATGTTTGATGGCGTCTTGGGAGGTTCGTGGTCGCTTCGTACCTTCCTCGCTCTATATGAATGAACCAGGATTTTATCAGTGGTGAGGTTAAGTAATGAGTGTGAACGAGGAGAAACCGTTACGGTTGGGAATGGGTCCGACGTATCCACAGTAAATCCGTCCACAGATTACGCACGTTGTGAAACGCGTCCACAAATATAAATGCAAGAATTTGGACGAAAATTAACAGATGCGTTTGTTACGTTTTCAGTGTCGATGTACTTTTGTCCTTGTATGAGCCATGAAACTCTTGTTTTGTTATAATCCGAGTTAAAATAACAAATGCGGGTTTCTGAATTACCTTCATTCCTGCCTCCTTTTTTTCCCTCTTACTAAACGCCAATATTTGGTTATCCATAATAGCCTGCATTAGCGTTCGTTGCGGTTGCGTTGTGGAGCAGGGCCGTGGTCTGTGGAGCTGTGGGCCGACCGAGGGAGAGAGAGAGAGAGAGAGAGAGAGAGAGAGAGAGAGAGAGAGAGGTGGTGGGTGGGAGATGGTATGGTGCCGTCTTGTCTTACGTGACCGCACCGCTGTCGGAAATCAAATACTGGCATCCGCGAATCGGTAGTAATATTTTCTGCGCTTCCTGGTAAAATTTCTGTTGACGTCGTGGGTCCCTGCACGGCTTTTCAATGAAGAGCCCGCCCTTCCAGCGCTGCCGTAGCCGTGGAGTGCCGGCTCCAGGGCCGCTCTAGCACCCGGTCTGAATCTGACCGGAGATCTCTTTTGAGATTAGTGGTGGCGTATAACCTGGGGATGGGGTTTGATTGAGGAGTCTGCGAGAGCGATGGGCTGAACAGGGAGAGAAAGGAAGAGGAAAAGGGAAAGGGATTGAGTGAAAGGGAAAGAGTGAAAGGGAGAGAGAGAA